GTTAAGACTCATCTGAAGCTCTTCATTCTCCTTCTAAAGCTTTTAAATGTTGACTTTGAGCTCTTTAGCCTCTCCTATAGGAACATGTGTAGGCTCGGGTGTTCTTGGACGCGTGGAGGATTCAATGGGAAATGGTAACTTAATGTCAAGAATTCTTTCCATAACCTACTGATGGAATGGTTCTTTGGCGATGCAGTTCTTTCTCCCAAGCTCACTCCTTCTCTTTTTGTGTACTCTTCCCCAAGCTCATCTTATCCTGTTTATCATATCCATGTCCTCTACTCCTTCTTGCAAAATGAAACTCTTTACTAGCTCTTTTTAGGTTTGTTTACCATGGGGTAGCTGAGTTATCGGAGAGCAAGGATTGGGTTATGGTTGATGCAACCTCGCGACCCCATGAGGGGTATATTAGTAAAGTCACTGCATCTAAAAATGACTTCATTTACCTCATGGTCCCAAGAATACCAAGAAATAGAGTTACCGATGAGAGAAGACATCTTTTGAGACCATCTTGCACTAATCTGATCTCTATTGAAGGTGTTCTCTTGAGGTATGTGAAACACGAGCCAAGCATGTAGTAGTGGAGTGAAACATCCAATCATACCTTTTTTCTTCTCATATCTTAGGTGGAAGGAGTAGTACATGTCCACAAAGAGTGCAAGAATAAGGTTTTTAGCCAAGAAAACACTTATGGCCGAAAAATCCACAATCTCTTCAAGGTTAGGAAACAACACAATCCCATAAACCAACAAGGCTAGGATAACATTGAAAGACTTCCAATTTTTAGATTTTACCAAGGTTTGGGATTTTTCTTCTAGGTAATGATCTATGGAAAATTTCTGGCTAAAAACATAGATAAAAATAAAATGGCTTTAATGATATATGGAGTTAGCAGAAATTGAAGAAGAGGAATTGGTTATGTTCCTAAAGAAAAACCTAGTTTAAAACAAAAAGCAAAACCAACAAAACTTTATTCCTATTTCTCTTATGCACATACACAAAATGATTATTCTGTACAAAGACCGAAGCTTGCTAAGAACTCTCAGAGAACTAACCAAAAAGGACCCTAAAATATGTGGGCACCTAAGGACAAGATAATATATGTTACATACATCCTTAGCAGCACAGTTAAAACACCAACCATGATACCTGGACTCTGAGTGCTCACGACACATGACAGAAGAATACATATGTTCTAAGATCTGGAACTTAAGCCAGACGACTTTATGGGTTTCGAAGGGAATCAGAAAGGGAAGATTATAAGCTCCAAAACATTTGGTAATGGTTATCTCCATTCTATTACTAATGATTTATTAGTTGATGGATTAATGCATAATTTATTATCTATAAGTCAAACTAAGTGGCAATGTTTATGACATAATCTTTAATCAAAAGTTTTGTAAAGCTTTTAGTCAGAAAGATGACTCCAATCTTTTCAATAGTAAGAGGAAAAATAACATTTACAAAATTAAACTTTTTGATCTTAAAAATCAAAATGTTAAATGTCTCATGACTGTTAATGAACAACAATGGATCTTACATAGACGATTGGGCCATGTTAGCATGGGAAAGATTTCTCAGCTAAATAATCTTAATTTAGTTAGAGACCTTCCGAATTTAAAGTTATTTTTAGATGTTCTTTGTGAAACATGTCAGAAAGGCAAGTTTTCAAAAACTTCTTTCAAAGCAATGAATGTTATTTCTACCTCTAGGCCTTCGAAACTCTTGCATATTGACCTCTTTGGACCAGTGAAAACTGCTTCTGTCAATAGCAAGAAATATGGTTAGTCTAGGGGTGGCAAAACGGGTTGTCGTCCGCCAGGCCGACTCGCGCACCTGCCAAGAAATGGCAGGTTGGGTTAGGTTGACCCCTTATTTCGCCAACCTAGTTGTCAAGCACTCAAAGTATTTATTAAATGCCACATAACAAAATCATATAACAGAGACATTCATAGTCTCCTCCTTAATGTAGTATAGGCCTGCAACTTCATATTATGACGACGTCACTGCTAGAAAAGTGATGTTGGCCCATAGTTCTCTCTAGTCGTCTTTGGATAATCTCAAATATTAAGCTCATGGTTAGCGCCTGCATGACATATTTTTTTCTGGAAGGAGCTGCAACTTCCTCTGGAGACAAAATCTCAAGCTATGATGTTAACCAGATAGTGTGAAGCTTTGTTGGCCATTTTCAAGGGAAAGTGCTGAAAATGGTGATGATGAAGGTGTGACACATGTTAGTCTTGTGAGGGAAATTCCTCATATACCATATATATACTTATGTTTCGATGATGACAAAATGCATTCATGGAAGAATCAATTTCTCGGCTCTACCACCACGAGGCAAATGCATGTCACACCTCTCATGTCTCTCTTATGTGTATACCATGTCTATCTAACTTTCCATACTCAGTCCAACATGTTTGGAAGATCTTTAGTTGAGCTTAGAAGTGAAGAAATCACAAATTCAGCATTTTTGCAAATTTACAGAGTTTGAGTCGACCACTGGTCGGCGCATGGAAAGTGAAAATTCCCACGGGTTGGCGTGAGCTGACCTATGGTCGACCGTTGGTTGGCGTGAGCTGACTTATGGTCGACCGTTCGCTTCATTTTCTGAAGGTGCCCAGAAAGTAAAATTCCCACGGGTTGGCGCACACTGACCTATGGTCGACCGTTCACTTCGTTTTCTGCATATTTTGAAGTCTTTCCACTTATTTCGAAAAGTGGTTATGTCAGTTGGTTTTTGGGTTACTATAAATAGAATTTTTGCTCATTTCTTCAATAACAATTGAAACATTAAGTCAATTGCACAAGAACAAGAAAAGTGAAATAGGTGCCCTAATTCTCTTCATCTTCATCCTCAACATTTCACAACACAACAATTACACACAACCATTCTTGATGTGCATTGTGGTCTGTTCAAGGTGATAATGTCCGAAGTCGACGATTGGAAATCCGGTTCGGGTTGAGTTTGGGGTAGGTTTTTCTTGAATAAAACCTTGAAGGTTTTGTCCTCCAAGATTCGTCGAATTTGGGGGTTTTTTGGTACGAATCGTCTCTACAACATTCAGCTGAGCGAAGGTGATTGAGGAACGGTGTGTTCGGTCAATCTAGTAGCGGTAATCAGTAAATTGCGTAGGAGGGGTTCGGGTTCGATTTGTTGGTGTGTGAGATCAGCCGAGCCGGGGTTTGAAGAATGCAAGGTTATTCAACAAAAGGAGCTGTAATCAGAGGTCTATCAATAACAATCGAAGGACTTGATTCAACTTAAATCAAGGAACAAGGAGAGAAAACATCATCAACAACCAAAGATTTTGTTTGTATATTTTGCTTGTCTATCCTTGTATAAACGTTTCAACTCTACAGGTTATATCTATATTATATCGAGCTCAATTCTAGTTTTAGAATTGAGGGCTGACGTACCCCGAAGCAAGGACGGCGGGGGAACTGCCTTAACAAATCTTTGTCTCCTTTATTTTTCAGCACTTTCATTTTTGCTTGATAATTGAGTAATTTTAATATAAGCAATTTTATAAAGTTAGCATTGGTTTGAGTAAGTGATTAACACTATTTTTAACTCTAGTACAATAGTGTATTGTACAAGGAAGCTAGAGTCACTTACTCAAGGCAAAACTCACTTGGAGTGCCTCGCACGCCAAGTGTTTGATAAATTGTCTACACCAAAATTCACTTGTATTGGTTTACATATTTTGGTTGGCATTGTGTAGCATTTGAACTAGTCTTACTAATTAGTGATATTAATAAATTGATAGTGTGACTAGTGTGGTGATTCTATTTGCTCATTATCATTTCCATAAGGCTAGACGCATATCCGGTCTTCTAATAACGGTTCATTATAGACGGTATTTTTCCACGGCCGCTTCCGCATATCAAATATTCTTAAAACCAATTTTTAATTGGTAGCGCAGACTGATTTTTTAATTGGGATCTATTCAATCCCCCTTCTAGATCCATGCCATCTTCTAACAAGTCTTACTGGAACTCCACGACGGGCGTCACTGTACTTGTAAAAAAGTACATAATGCGTGGTACCCCTATGTTGGTAAGGATGATCATAGGCCTTTGTAATTTTTTGTTGGGCTAGAACTTACTCACAGTGGTGAGATGCATTATTTAATGGTATTTACGTTGATGAGAAAGCAAGCTCACGCGAGGTGGAAGTTCTGTAACTTTAGGGGGTGTATTGTTGTATTACGATATGTCCATTCTCATGAAAGGGGTAAAATATTTATAATGACTCTTGGGCCTGGAGTTAGATTTTCCTTGGGAACGATAACCACTTACTTAGTGAACAACTGAGTCTTTATTTTCTTAGAAGATACAAATTAGCATGTTGACTCTGACTTATCTCTAACCGAGACACGTCTTTTTTCACGTTTCTCATGTCTGTGTGAGTGAAAAGCGCTTAGGACGAAATTACCCTAATTCGTGGACATCAGATGAATGTCACCTCACCTCTTATTGGTGATTATAATCCCACATCTTTAGTAAGCATTTTACAAACATATCACCACCTTTCAATTAGATTTTAATTTAACCATTAAAAAAATTGAATCAGTTTAATTTGTTTAAATTTGATCATATTTTTATAGAGATGATTTGTTTTAGTCTTGAAATATTATCACACCTAGCAATAATATCAATATCTAGTCTCTTGGAAAATGAGAAGGAGTTGGGTCTTGTTATGTTAGGTGAAGCGGTGACCGTTTTTAATCCTTTTATTATTTATTTATTTTAACCTCCAATCCAAATTCCAATTCTTATTCGCATAATTCCTTCCCCGAACTTTCAATCTCCCGGCGTTCAATATCTTCGGCTCCACGTATTTCGAAAATCAACAGTTGAGTATATTTTAATATTTCAAACAATTCGCAATCAATCTCAAACCCTAGAAATTCAATCTCTATAATTTCCCCAAATTTTAATAACAATCTAACATCGTGTTTTGATCTCAACACTGAAAGGGTTCAAGCGAAGAAGCCATGGATGACTGCTGTGCTGTTTGCGCCGAGCCATTGGAATGGGTTGCGTACGGACCCTGTTTGCACCGTGAGGTTTGCTCTACCTGTGTGGCGAGACTCCGTTTCATTTGCGATGATCGCCGTTGCTGCATCTGTAAGACCGATTGCAATCTCATCTTTGTTACCAAGGTTTGCCCGATGTTCATCGATTTGATGAAATTATTTTGTAGAGTTGAAGAGTCTTTTGGTATTATATTGTTGGGTTCACTGTGATGATTCACTTTGATGATTGCCACTGTCCTGAGCTGTATATGCATGTAATGATATAGTTTATTCTTAATTCCAAGCATGAATATTCGAAGAGGAAGTTACGTTTAGCATGTGATTTATGGAATTATTTTGTTATTCAGCTTATGTAATGAAGTTTAGATATGTTATTTGAAGTTAGATATTTGCTTTGTTTATTTTTCTTTAATGTTAGTTTCTGAAAAATGCAGTCAGAATAACACATTTATCTTGGAATTACTTGCTTCATGTTGTTACTAAACAATAGAAGTATTCCATTCATGACTTGGTGAACTTCTTTGGTTAGAACTTAGAAAAGATACAGTCAAACTCACACTTTGTTATCTCACAGGGTTAATAATAAGGTTTGGTCGGATCGGAGGCAACCTCAGATTGTATTTTAGTCCAAGTCTCTTATGAGATGGGTCCTGCTCAATAGAGATCCTTTTTTGGTTAAAAGTGAACTTGGCTAACAGAAGGGTTCTCAAATTTACTTCGTTTAGGAAATTTTTATAATTTTAGCTGCCCAAATTGCAGTGATTAACACACACTGTTAATAGCGAGGTTTGGTTGGATTGGAGGCAACCCCATAATGTATTTTAGCCCAAGTCTCTTATGAGATTGGTCCTGTTTAATAGAGACCATTTTTTGGTTAGAAATGAATTTGGTTAACAAAGGGGTTCTCAAACTTACTTTGTTAGGAAATTTATAGTTTTAGCTGCTCAAAATTGTAGCTTTTAAGTTTGTTTTGTTTGATAAAAACCTCGATAGTAAGGATCAATCTTTTAATTATGTATTTTGTTTTGTTGCTATTATTTGATGTGGTTGATATTCAATTTTGCTGCATACTCACAGGCTCTAGGAGATTATACAAGGGTGATTAATGACTTTGCATCCCTTCCGTCTGAGGTAAGGGAAGGAAAGGTTGGGTCGTACTGGTACCATGAGGATATGAATGCATTTTTCGACGATGTGGACCATTACAAGATGATCAAGGCTATGTGTAGGCTTTCCTGCAGTGAATGTGACAAGGCGGAGGAGCAACAGAATGATGGGTCAAGGCGACAAGCAAGGTTTAGGAATATAGGACAGCTGAAGGGTCACTTATTCCACCGTCATAAGTTGCATATGTGCAGTTTGTGTTTGGAGGGAAGAAAGGTGAAATATTTATGTTTGGCATTCCATGTATCTTTTTAATGGAAAATTTTGCAATCCTTTTTTTATTGATCGAGTCTTTATACCATTGTTTCTATGGCATAGGTATTTATATGTGAGCAAAAACTATATACTAGAGCCCAGTTAAATCAACATATAAACACAGGTGATTCCGAGGTGGATGGAAGTGAGAGTGATAGAGGTGGTTTTATGGGGCATCCTATGTGTGAATTTTGTAAAACCCCATTTTATGGGGACAATGAACTGTACACACACATGTCTACGGAACATTATACTTGTCATATATGCCAAAGGTAACAATTAAGCTAATCAATCATGTGCTCAAAAGAGCATGTCTTCATTTTGATCTGAACTATTAGAACTGTAATGTTCATTATATCTGTGCTTTAATTGCAGGCAGCATCCAGGACAGTATGAATACTATAAGAATTATGATGACCTAGAGGTTAGAAATATATGTTTGCTTCATTTACTATCTTATTCGTCTGAGTGTAAGGCTTTGCTAGACATTTCATGTTATTTGATCTGATAGTATTTGTACGGACAAATGTCCTCTGATGCAGATCCACTTCCGACAACAGCATTTCTTATGTGAAGATGATGCTTGCCTTGCCAAGAAATTTGTTGTTTTTCAATCTGAATCAGAGATGAAGGTGATTTATTATTTACAGCACTAGGATCTTTTCTTGTTCCTTCATATTTTCTGTTACTGGTTTATTCGAAAGGTGTTTTGTATGCAGTACATTACCTGCTTCATGATTCCCCATGCCTGTTCGTTTAGATGCTTACTCTTTCAATCTTACTGTAACATAAGCAGATGTGTTATTGTTGTGGGTTATTTTTTCATTGTTGAACCTCTTTTCCCTTGTTTATGACAGAGACATAATACTATGGAACATGGAGGACGTATGTCACGGTCAAAGCGTAATGCTGCTCTTCAGGCATGTACTATGGCAATCTTTTCTTTTTGAACTCACTTTTCATGTCTGTTGGTTTTGCTAGTTTCCAAAGAAATATTTACCTCCAAGATCCTTCTCAATACCTTACAGAAGTTACCTTCATTGTTCCCTACAGATACCAACTAGTTTCCGATATAAACACAATAATGAACAGGATCAACGTCGTGGAAGAGGGCGAATGTTTCGTCGCGATCTTTCTGAAAATCAACTTTCCATGGCCATTGAAGCCAGTTTGGAGACTGCTAATGCTGAGCAAACATATCGTGAGCCAACTTCAAGTAGTGGACAGATTGCTTATGAAGACGGGGATGCAGATATTGATCCCATCATTCATCCGTTTGAATCATTAGCTACTGCAGGTTCTGAATCAACGTCAAGATACCGTCAGGCCTTAGGGCATGGCTCTAAACCACTGGTAGACTCCTCCTTTCCTCCCCTTCCTATAACTTCCAGCAATGGCCAGCAAAGGTCCAAACATGAGTTTGAAGGCTCGTCAAGCAATACTATGGCAGCACGTTTGCGTCGGCATGGCAACAGAAATATATCTGTTATTAATTCTGGAAATGCCTGGTCTGTAGCAGGTCGTGGACCTGTACAAACATCAAGTAGTCATTCGCATTCTAAGAAGTCAACAAATCATGCTCTTGGAGGGTCTCATAACTCTAGCCAGACAAAGACAGTAGTTAGCAGCGGACCTCCACCATCAAGTTATGCTAATCCTATTCCATCTGCACATAGCCAAACAAAGACAGTAGTTAGCAGTGGACCTCCACCATCGAGTTATGCTAATCCTATTCCATCTGCACATAGAACTGCTCATGGGCAATTACCTGCTGGTCCATTGTGGGACACACGTGACAATGGTAGAATCGTTCACTCTGCATCAGCTCCAAACCTCGTTGAGAACAACCCTGTTGGAGTTTCAATTTCTGACTTTCCTCCCGTTTCTGCTTTACAAGTGAGCAAGTTACCTACCAGCAGCCAGCCTCCATTGAATGTGGAGAATGTTCAATCTGCCAACAAGTCCTTGGTTGACAAGATTCGCAGTACGCTTGATTTTGATGAAGATAGATACACTATATTTAAAGACATATCTGCTCAATATCGCCAAGGAACAATAGATACTGAAACATATGTGGACTATGTGCAGCAGTTTGGCTTGTTTCATCTTGTACCTGAGTTGGCAAGACTATGCCCAGATGCTCGGAAGCAGAGAGAACTTGTGGAGTCTTACAATGCTGGTTTGCAAAGAAACGCATTTCAAGAAAGTGACAGGGTTTATGGCAGTGCTAGCACCCATCACAAGAATGGTAATGTTGACAAGAAAGGTAAAGGCAAGTCATTAGAGGTTAAGCAGAATCAATCCACTGAGAAATTAGCAGATAGCTTTTTAAGCACCGTGCATCAACTACAGTCAAATTATAAACCTTCAGAAGAGAAGTTGGAGGTGCTATCAAAGGGTGCTTATCGCACTGACAAGGGTAAATATAAAACCGAGCTGAAGACTGATACAAACACTAGCAATCAAAATATGATTAAACTTGGTGGGAAGATTGAAACGTCAAACGGCACTTTAACTAATCAAAATAAAGAGGATGGGGTTGGTGGGAACAAGCAACGCAAGAAAGCTTCCAAGTTCCTCAGAGTTCGCCTTGGTGATGGTTCTGCTTCGGCCCTTCTAGATCTTGATAACTCACGGACTACATCTGATCCTAGAGGAACAGAAAATTTAGACGGTAACAATAATGATTCTGGAGTTGGGCTGCCTGTGCGAGGTGTTTGGCGGAAGGGGGGAGGTCAAAAACTCTTCCCCTGATTCCACTTGACCATGGCTTTGATAATCAAGCGCAATTGAACTTGCTCGCAAAAACCATAGCTAAGCTGGATTAAGGATAAAGGATTCTTTTTTGCATGGGAGGTAATGATATGACAAGTATCCAATTTGAGTTAGATCTAAGGTACATCAAGCTAGCATGGGAATTTTGTTGTGATGTGTTGTGACGTTGAAGGCTGAATGGGATGATTTTGTTGGTTTTGAGGGAATATTTTTGTTCAAGTGTTGATATGGAAGTTGGCACCGAGTGTACTGTTTTGCTTTGGTGCGTTGTTGTTTTTGTCACGATTAGTGTACTTTAGAATTTTACTATCTACAGTCACAAGTCTGAACTGTAGAAATCATGTTGGCTGGTGTCAATGCACAATGGAGCATATGCTTGAAATTACTGGATTATGCCTGCGCAAGTTTTGTTATTAAATTGGCCATTAAGTGCACTTTTTACAATTACTTTTTACACCGATTCCCACTACAGCCACGTGGGTGATCGTCGTGATTAATCAGTGGTCTGCAATTGCATCTTTGCTGGCAATGCATTCTCTTCTTGGTCGATCCGCACCTGATCAAGAAGAATAATGATAGTATGATTATTGATATATTTAAACAAAATCTTCAAACGAATTTTAATGAATAATTGGCATGTTTAAAACTTTGAAACTTTAGTATGTTATTGGTATTGCTAAGATTTTTTTGTTTGTTTTTATTTTGTAAGTATATTTAATATGGACACATGGTTTTTATTAGGGTTTAAGTCTTGCTTTGTAATATTTTTGAGGATTTTTTAACGCCTCTTATATATTATTTAGACACCACTTAAAAATATTTAAATGTCTTTAGGTTTCAGAGATGCAATTTCAAACGTCCTTTAAACACTAAATGAATAGGAGATGCATCTTTGTAACAATTTAAAATATATACTACATCATATTCAAAATTTATTTTACAAGTTTATTGTACTGGATTTTCATCTCCGTTTATTTTTTGGAGATGTATCTTCGTAACATATTAGAAGAGAGTAGTTTGTGTTATGTTTTTTTTGTGTTATATGAAGATTTATTTTTTGTTCATAATACTATGATTCATTTTATTTTAGGTTTTTTCGACCAAGTTTATTTTGATATGTGTACCTTTTCATTTCTGTGTTTAGTTTATTTCTAGTCTTTTTTGTTTAATCATATAATTTAATATTTTTTTGCTTGATTAATATTTGATTTTAATCGATAATTTTTTTTAAAATTTATTTGTTAAGGTGATTTTTCGATTATTCTATTTTATGAGCTTAGTTGATTATCTCTATTCATGTTCATATTCACATACGTAAATAATCATGCTCACTAATTTCACTAATATTTCACCACGATGCTGTGCCGTGATTGTTTTGTGGATTTTATTCGTTATGCTTTGCCGCGTATCCTTGTCTGTTGATTACATGATGCTTTTTCGTGTATTTCTGTTGACTTTTCACTGTCTGATTACCATGATGTTTTTCCAGGCGTATTCTATGATATCTTTCTTGTCTGACCATACATGATGTTCTTTCATGTATTATGTCTGTGTCTTTATTTGTTATCATTTACATGATGTTTTTTCATGTATTTGTTGCTTTCTATTCCTTGTTGACCTAATCCAAGGGAAGAGATTGTATGTTGACTTATTGTCATTGTGCATGTCTCTTGTTTGTTCTTTACCTGTCTTTGTTGTTCTTGGTTCTTAGAATCCTAACAACTCGTAGTTGCACGAACTATGGACGCTCTGATTTCTCAAGTTCTTCTTGAGAATAAGTAGGCACAAGGACCCGATCCTTGGCGAACAACCTTTTCTTTTTTCAACCTTTTTTTCCACTCTTTTCCGTTTTTACCATTTTCCCTTTTACATCGTAGTTCTGAACTACGGTTGCTCTGACTTCCTATTCAGGGTACGTAGGCATAAGATTGCGAGATTCTAGCGAGCTACCTTTTTCTTTTCCACATTTTCTCCTTACTTTACCCATCCTTACCTTAGAAAATAATTTTATCCAAAACACAAATATTTCAAGAGGTTCCTGTAGAGTATTGCAGATGCTTAGGGTGCTAGTACCTTCCCTTAATATAACCAACCCCTGTATCTTTGACCTCTCTCTCTCTCTCTCTCTCTCTCTCTCTCTCTCTCTCTCTCTCTCTCTCTCTCTCTCTCTCTCTCTCTCTCTCTCTCTGCTTAGCTTTAGGCTTTAATTTTTGCTTTGCATTTTACTTAGGGTTTTTGTTCAATCTTTTTCCCTTTTCTCTTGGATAAAATAAAAGTTCGGTGGTGATATCATTGTTTTGTGAGCCAACCTGATCCTATAACTTTGGTATTCGATTTTCACCGCGACAAATAATGACGACTTCACTGGGGAAATTTGTTTAGTTGGTTGAGCCTAACTTGTTATATTTGTGTTGCTATTATTGTTTGTTATTGCTTGTATACTTGTATATTTATATATTTGTATATTTGTATATATTTGTATTGCTTGGGTTTTTTTTTTCTGCGTGCAAGGTTGTTACCTTGAGTGGTGAGGATAAGTCCTATACCCGGACTTGAGTGCACTTATGATAGGATGGTGAGTATAGTCAAGGAGACTTTGAGGAAGTTTAATCTCGAAGGAGTTAACTTGAGAACCCCTGCTCAATTGAGGCCCTCTTGGGAGTAATATGTAAGTACAGAGTATGCCTAAGAGGGGGGGTGAATTAGGCTTTTAGGGACTTTTTCCGGTTTTTCGGTATTCTTGAAATTTTACTGGTTAGGTTCTTGGTGATGAATGCAGTAGAAAGTAAAAGGAAAGTGAACACCAAGATTTATAGTGGTTTCCCTCACAATCCGAGAGTACTCCACTCCCCTTTCAACACGAAAGAGAGTTTTCACTATTGTTTAATAAAGTACAACCTATCACACCATCAACCGGTGAGGCCTACTATCAAACAATAAACATCAACAAGTGTACAAGAACAATCCTCTTGTAAACACTCACCCTTGTGTCCAACAATCCTGGATCACAAGTCAAAATACAAGTAATCTGAATACTTTGATTTGAGAGTAATAATGGTAATATCAATGCTGAGATTGATCTTCTCCTTCTGATTAAAATTCACTCTTTTAATTTCAACACAAGTGTTCAATGCTATGCATATGAAAGATATGATCAATATGAACACTTTTGAAAAGATTTGAAAAGTATTTGAAAGTGGTGAATTTGATTCAAAGAATGTTTTGAAAATGATTATTGGAGGATCATTTTCCAATTTGAAAAACTCAGAATTTATATGTGTAAACACACCTTTTCCAACAGGTATATTTGAGTATAATTCAAAATATGAACTGGTATAATTTTCAAACCATTTTTGAACTTGAAACAAAACCATTTTTCAAAATACGTTCAGTGTTAATCGGTTAACCTATATGGTTAATCGGTTAACACTTGAACGTTATACCAAAATATTCAAAATTTGAAATGGTTAACCGGTTAACCTATATGGTTAATCGGTTAACACTGCTATTTTTCAGAAAAATGCTTATAAAAACAGTGTTATACCAATTCTAATAGTTTAAAAAATATGCTTATGCAATGTGATCAAATGATAAAGATGTTGAACACTTGTATATCAATTAAATTAATGGATTTTGATATACCATAGCTTGTGTTCAAAAACTTGAAAGTTGATCAGTCAGATGTTCATGAAGCTTTGAATGTTGATCACTTCCATTCCACTTGATCTTGGTCTTTTGAAAGCGTTTGCCTTTTTGCACAGATGAAATATTCTTGATCTTGATGTTGACGTCATCAAAACTTTGAGATGAAGCTTGCTTCTACATAATAGTGTTGAACGAGCTATTGTGAATGCACTATTACTTTCAACCTATGAGCCTGTGATACTGAGGACATTTTGTTACCCACTTACCCCACTTGGCCTTTTAAAATGTAGTGCGGTAACTATGAGGGTGTAAATCCGAAGTAGTTGATACGTGATGTTACACTCAAACGAGCTTCTCTTGAGAATATTACTGATTCTCGAGTAATTGGATTGTTGGTAATATTTGAAAGATGGATCAATGACTCTGGAACTTTGTTAGAACCTGTTGTGAAGGTGCTTTACCCGTAGTACACACCTCGTGGTTGGTTCTTTACCCAGACTCCATAATGTGATCTTGAACCTTTGATCCTGTTATCTGTGGTTTGCATCCTGTCTTGCATCACATTGCATATCATTTGCAACTTTTGTAAGATCCATTACATACTATCTTTTTGTCCAACCACTCATTTCTAGTTATCTCTATCTTTCAGTGTAACCTATCAGTCGTCAAGCTGATTCCTCAACACAAATACATGACTAGATCTAACTACAGACGAAAGATGTTAGAGCAAGAAATGCATAATGCATAGATCTGAATGGAGATCGATGATTTAAAATCAGGCATGACTAAGCTCACTGAGATGCTCCAATTCCTTATTGCTAGAGAGGAGAAACCTCAAAGGACTGTCATCCAGGAAGTTTCAAGCGCTGATCCTCCGCTTGTTCAAATGCCACCTTGAACTTGGCCAAAGTTTGGTTTACCTCATAACTACTCTCCACCCATCGTATCTACTGTTATGATTGGTCCGACTGCCAGACCAGTTTTTCAAGCTCATATTTTTGCCAAGCCCATACCTGTGGTTCACACTGTTGCCCAAACTCCCTTCTTTGAGTACAATAATGTCAGTGCTCAAGGTGAAGACCTTAAAGATTTTCTTGAGCCTGAGGTTGTCCGTGAATAGTTTTAGATCATAAATATAAGACTCAAAGCCATTTAAGGTATTGGTTTCTTCAATATGGATGCAGACAACATGTGCTTAGTTTCTGGCCTTGTTATGCCTGCTAAGTTCAAAACTCCCGAGTTCATAAAATAAAAGGGTCACTCTTGCCCAAGAGATCATCTAGTCATGTACTTCTAAAGGATGGCTACTTATACCAATAATCAGAAGCTGCTCA